ACCGCCCGGGCTCCGGCCGCGCCGGGGCGGGCTGCCTAGCTCACGCTACCCCTCTCCCGGCCGGGAGTGAAACTCTTGCAGCTGTTGCAAAGTCTCTTCAACTTCCGTTGTTTTGCTTCGAGCAGCCGCAGTGGGTATGTTTGCTAAAGACCTTGAGATCCCAGTTCCTCCCGCCTTACCGTGTCTGGGAAGTCCTCAAAATCCTGTTAAAAAACGTTTAACCTCGAACAAAGTGGGAAAATTTCCAAATTTGAAAGTGCGCTATTAAGTGTAGCTAAGTGAGCCTAATCCCCAAAGTAGGCAATTTAGTCAATTAGGCTTTTCAACCTGTTTCGTAGTCCGTATTAGTTCTGCACTGTGCAGATTTCATAATTAAAGTAGAATTACAGTTTAATGAGCTTGAGAGCACATAAAAATCGTTACTTTGTTTTCACTTTTTAAATTAGAAGCTGTTTCACTGTGTCTCTTCTTACGGGGTTCAAGATCTAAGTGAGGGTGCTTGAAGCTGGAAGGTTTCGAGAGGTAGTTGGGGTACTGCTTATTTCATTAGCTCAGCAGTAATTTGAATGCTTGTTATGTATCGCTCAACTCACTTTCAAGAGTGTGTAAGAGCTGGCAGGATGAGGGCGTGGGTCCAAATGAGAACAGTAAGTCAGGGAAATAATTTGGTTACTGCTCTTTGGCCAGAAGCAAAGGGTAGGAGAAAATTCTAAGAGTAACTTTGTGTCTTAGCAGAAAGCAGGACTTCTAATTCTCAAGTAGTGACTGGTAATTTTGACTTGCTACCTATCTTGGGTGGGGTTCAGGTACTAGTTTCCCTGCTTCTTTGCAAATAAATTTCAGCAAACATTAAGGAACTACTCTATGAAAGGCTTGTCCTCTGTTGTTTCTGGAAGTGTCGCAGATTCTTGGAGACCCTCTCCCCTCAAAAAACTCCACAAGTTCATTTTATTTATTTAACCATTTTATTCAGGTTTGTGTTCTAGGCACTTGGCATACAGCAGTGGAAAAAAATGGGGAGACAAAATAAATACAAAGTGTCAGCCAGTGGTATTAAAACATTGCAAAGTAGGGGATAAAGAGGGATGGGTGTGGCATTTTATGTAGGGTGGGTGCTGTTATTTACCATCTTAAGTAGTAACATTTGAGCAGAGACCAGAATGAAATAGTATCTGATGTCAAGAGTTCCAGGAAGTGTAAAGAGGCCAGAGTGGATGGATGGAGTGAGTGAAAGGTAGAATGGTAAAGGGCAGAGAAGTGATCCTTGTGGGAGGTGACCGAAGATGTACAGCCTTGTGGCCAGACGTGGATTTTCCTTCACAAAAGATTAGAAACCACTGGCAGCTTCTTTTCCCTTGCTCACATCTACTGGTGGTATCTAACCCCTAAGCCTCCCTACATTTCCAGTTTCCTAAATAACATCAGATAACTTAACATACTATCTACTGATGTGATCTATTTCAAATTTGATTTTCAGCATCAAACATAGGTACTTCACATAGGTTTCATTTCTAATTTTTATCTAGCTTATTTCTAAGAGGATTTGAAATTGCTTCTAACATTAAAACACTGAAAGACAGGATGGTTGAAGATAAAAGATGATAAATCATTTGGAAGAAGAGGCATTTTAGTTATTTTGAGCACTGTATCAACCTCTCAAAATCCTGGCTGCTAAGGCAAAAAGGGGAACATTGGGTATAGTGTTTTTCTTGTTCGATTAAAAGGAAGTGTATTCCATCTACAGAAAAGCACAGAAAACTTGACATTTACATTGTTATGTAATTATCAACCTTGTAAGTACCACTGACAGAAATTGACAAGTTGAAAGAAATAGGATAGGGGAAGAAGAGGAAGAAAGGGTAAGAGTATCATATTTTATAAAATTAGGACTCTAGAAGAGAGTGAAAATTAATGGAAGAAACAAGTCTGAGTATATAATTTAAAGTAGTAAGTAGAGGAATTAAAGGGTACTGTAACATATTGAAAGGGGGTTTGAAGAGAGGGTAGTAGTGATGTTAAATAGATCAATTTCTTAAAAAATAGTGTTGTAAGTATATTTAAGAGTAACTATCAGAACTCAAAGTAGTTACCCATTTGAGTTTTCCATACTGTCTTATTTTGATGAGTTATTAAAACTAAAAAAATAAAAGGGAAGCATGTAAGTTGGTTTACAACAGTTCTTAATTTGGGGTCTAAATATGTACTTTTTTGTGTGTAGTTACATTTTTGGAGCTTTTATCAGATTTTTCAAATGGTTGCATGCACAAAAAAGTTAATCACAGGTTTAGAGAGACTTTTAGCTGAGTAGTAAATTATAGTAGGAATGTGTTCAATAAAAGATGAGCAAGATAGTATAGATGTGAGCTATTGGATATGAAAACACTAAAGCATTATATTTTAATGTTGACTTGAGCATGCTTATTACTGATAACGTTTTTGATTGGTGGTTATTTAGCATGTTATGTATGAAAACTTCATTCTTGAAGAACATTTTTGAATTCAGAATTTTTCAGTAATTACCATAGCCATGCTGATTCTCTCCTAAATTTTTCTCAGATGTATCTACTTTCTCTCCACCCTTCAATCACTCTAGTGCAGGTCACTATTTTTGTCAACAGGATTAACCACATCAGCCTGTTAACTGCTCTTCTTGCCTTAATTCTTGTCCCACTTGCTGATTTTCCACACAGCAGTAAAGAGTGATCCTGTTACCTTCCTACTTAAAATGTTTATGTGCCTGTTGTTCTTAGGTTCAAAGTCCAGCTGAACTTGCTGGATCTTCTCTAGTCTCCCCTGCAACTCCCTTCTAGCTTCTTCAGCAAATGAGAGACAGTGGGTATTCCTGCCACACTGTTCACAACTCCATCCAGCTACACTTGAATTTCAGTTCCTCAATATGTTGTTCCCTTGCCCCTGCCCTTCTCATTTTATCTGCACCCCTTATCACCTAGACCTCAGATCTTACTTTCTGTCTTTTAGAAGCCTTCCCTGGCACCCTAGAGTTAGGTGTTCTTCCAAGGTGCTCCCATAACCCATTATCCTGATGGTCCTTTGATTCTCTTTTTCTGTCTAGTTCCTTGCTTATCTTTTGCATTAGACTTTATGTTCATTGAGAGCAGGGATCTTGTCTGTCTTACTCACCGAGGTATGGGCAGTCCTGGCAATGTGCTTGACATGTAATAGGCTCTTACTATATACTGAGTTATAGAATATACTTGTAGCCATTCCAATTTAAGACGTTAATTGTTGCTTTTTCTGCTTTTTGATTTGCAGTATTGGTAGCCTTATATGAAGAACCAGAGAAACCTAATAGTGCTTTGGAGTATCCTTTTCATCTTTCAAGTCAGAAAAAGGCCTTATTTTTGGAACTCCTATTTTTTTCACATAGCTAACCTTTAAAATACTTTTGATTACTGAAAAAGTTACTTTCCTTTGAGTTTTTGGATGATGCTCTCTGGGTAAATATGGGTGATGGGGTGGGGTGACCCTGGTCAGAGATGCTATTCTGGGCTATTTCATTACTTTCATTCAGCTCAAGTAAATTCTTAACTTTGAGATTAGTTTTTTAAAGCATCACTTAGGAGCTGCTACCCCAGAAAATCCAGAAATAGAGCTGCTTCGCCTAGAATTGGCAGAAATGAAAGAGAAATATGAAGCTATTGTAGAAGAAAATAAAAAACTGAAAACAAAGGTAAATTTTTAAAAAGAATTCATGTTAACTTCACCTTTAGTTAATAACTTCATCGATTATTAGTAATAAATTCATTTTAATAACATTAATATGACCAAAACTTCACTAAAATGGGCAGTAGGGGAGGGAGGGGGGTGAACATCAATCTCAATTAATTGCAAGGCCAAACTGATGCTCTGTCTAGAAAACCACAGAAACATTGTAAATAGGCCAAGCAAAGGGTGGACAAGAAGAGGTTCTTGGGAACCTGCATCAACAAAAAGATGAGGATACTGGTTAATGCTACTTTTAAAAGTATATGGAGATTTCTAAGAGTCTGAAGTAGTTGATTTAAGTTGCTTTGTGAACGGCACCTCTTAGAGTTGTGCGGTACACAATCTACCTAGTCCTGTGGTGGCCCCTGTAAATTTGCTAGCATTTAATTTTGTCTAGTGCTGAAGTTTTTTCTTTGTTTAAACTCCTTTGAGAATTTTCATAAACTTCAAATTAGTCAACTCTTAAGTCCTTGAGGTTTTACCACATTCTGATTCACATAATGCACTTTATATCATAATGTGTTTTATTTGCTCTATAACTTTGCAAGATAAGTAAAATAGATACACAGGTGAGGAAACTATAGCACAGTGAAGTCTAGCTTCTCAAATCTGACAGCTAAATGGAACAAATCTTAGCCTAGTGTTCTTCCAGGGTAACAACTTGGCATAAAAGAAAATGCAGAATCTTAAACTACCAAGATTCCATAATGTGCAAATACCAATTAACTGTTGGGCACCTTTTAAATCAAAGACATTAGCAGTTCTTTATTGTCTGGCTAGATTCATATATGTCACATAATTTGTTCTACTTTTTAGGAGAAAGTTCAGTAAACTTTTGGTGGAGGGGAAGAAAGTACCTTATTATAAGCCACATCATCTTTGGGAAGATATAGATTATTGCATATCAAGTGTTTTAGCAGTGTGGCCATACATTGGAATTAAATTTTAGTTTTATAGTAATATTAAAGATTTATGTAAAAAGTCTTCTTTGGGCTTGAATCGTATTAAATCTTAAATCATTAAATGGTTTAATAATTTAAACATATAAACTTTCTGAGTCAGTAATTAAACTGAATATAATAGTTAATTTGTTTTGTTACTATTACGTTTTTTACCCAATTTAGAATAAAATTCACCTAAACTCCTCTGTCTTTGCCCTATAGCTTGCTCAGTATGAACCACCTCAGGAGGAGAAGCGTGCTGAATAGGATTCTTCTCAGTTGAAAAGACACTGAAAAATGTTTTGTAAGACTTGAATAGTTTGTATAGTATATAATCTTTTCTGAACAGATGCTATAGAACTCTTTTATATATATGTTAAATTCACCCATCACACTTTAACTGTTATAAACACATATTCTTAGAATCACCAATAAAAACTCAATATAACGTTCTTTGGGTCTTAAAGGCAGGAGAATCTAAAGTGAATCCTGAAAAAAATCTAAACATAGCCATTAACTCATTACCTTAAAAGACATTCTGTTTACTAGTCTGACTAGGAATGATGGTACTGGTTGTATTTTAGCTGAGGAAGGTTAGCATGGAGCTGTTCCTTGGTTTAGTTCAGGGTATGAGCACAGGTACAGTCATTCTTTAAAATGAAGATGACACTTTATATTCTCCATAGGCAGCTGGAGAGGTCTGTGTGACATGAAATGCTTTTGCATGGGTTCCCGTGAACCTTTTGCTCATTTATATAACTTGGGACAAATAACTCTTCTTTGCCACCACTTTGCCTTAGATAACTGGGTGTGTGCCGGTCTGACCTCTGACACCACTTTTCCTTCTATGCATTCATGCCCTATTTGATAATGTTGCCTTGCTTGCATTGTGCTTCAGTGGGTCCTACTTGCACATTGGCCTTTCTGTGTCGATTTTCAATTTGCTATAACAGCAGTTACCCTGTTGTAACTTATATAACTTTAAACAGGATCACACTGTTCCCCTGCCTTACTTAGTTGCTCAGTTGAGCACAGAGGCAATATAAAATTCTGGGTTCATGCACAAGCTGGGATGAGAAGGGGAATGAGCCATATATTGTGGAAAATTATAGTTTGTGGGTATAATTATATAGTGCTTCTTTCTCTCAAAGTATTTTTCTAGCCTTGAATTCATTTTATCTTCATTATCCCTGTGAAGTAGGTAGGGCAAGTATGAGGGGAGGCTGGGTGCTGAATTTTTAGGCCAAAGACTGGTATTAATACAAATCATTTACTAACTATAGAACCTTGGGCACATCAATTAACTGTGACTCCTTGCCTCATCTGTTAAATGAGAATAGTATGTGTGCTACCTACCTCACAGGGTTGTTGTGAGGGTCAAATGGAATATATGTGAAAGATTTGTAAATGGTAAAGCACTACATTCTTGTTCGTTAATCCTTTTTCCATTCTTTTGGAAGACCTACAGACAGACTTTTTTTAAAAATTGATTTTATAGAGGAAGAGAGAGAAATATCGATTTGCTGTTCACACTTATTCATGCATTCATTGGTTGATTCTTTTATGTGCCCTGACCAGAGATTGAACCTGCAACCTTAGTGTATTGGGATGATGCTCTAAGCAACTGAGTTACCTGACCAGGGCCTGTGGTCATTTATTTTCCTTACTGATTGACATTATTAGGAAGAAGTCCTATTTCATGTATCCTATCCCTTTTGTTAGAAAACCTGTATTTTTTGGTCAAAACACAAAGAAAACAAAACAATCCACTGAAAGATGATTTAAATAGTAAAAGTCTCAGCACCTGCTAGAAAGTGACTAAGCCAGTTATAACGGCATTTTAATCAGTCACGTTGGTAGGAATGTGGCAGTGGTCTGTGCCTCTTCTAGTCTCAAGTTTATTTTTGGATGGGGATCAGATACTGTTGGAAGAACATTCACCTGAATTAGTTTATCTTTTAAAGATCTGAGTACCTCCTACATGGACAGCAGTGGGCTGAGTGCTGGGTGTTATAAAGATAAATGACTTGAAATTAGTTATAAGACATGTATATAAGCAATTACAGTGTGGGCTAGGATGTGCTAAGAATCATAATAAAACATGGCCCCATGGGGGTTTTGGGAGAGAGGGAGACATGGCTTCTTTAAGCAGTTGGTATTACAGTCTCCTTGTGGATACAGACAAGTAGAAATTTTTTCTGGCAGCTGCTTCTCATTTGCTTTTTTCCCTTGGGACTAGTATTAATATTTATGTAAGTCAGGTGGCTGTGTCTTATACCATCCTTTTGGATAGAAGGGCAGTCTGTGGGTTGGATAATCACACTTTTTGGTGGAACTCACCTGCTAAACTGCTGTACCAGTCAGTGCTATTTAAGAATTCAGAGTCAACCTGGCTTCTGGAGGTCTTCTTCAACATTTCTATGAAGGATTCTGATGAAGACAGTATATAAGAGGAGGCTCTATGGAGTAGAAAAAGGACCCCATCCATTCAGTTCGTTATGCTTCAGCTAACTTACCTATAAAATGTAGGTTTCATATCTTGTTTACCTCACAAGGTTGGTGTAAGGATCAAATTAAATATAGGATGAAAAGTACCTTGCAAATTATAAAGGACTACATAAGGGTCAGATGGTAGTAATGCCAAATCTGTAATGCCACAAAGTAGGAAGGGCTGGTTGGTAGACTATATTGAAACAAGCTTAAAAATGCTTAAGAACTTGGAATACCCAAACTTCTGGGCCTAAACCAGAAGGCTGAAATAGCAAGACTTATATTTAGGTTAAAAAATGCAGTTATACAAGTTGAGGCACTAGGATTGCTGACAGTGTACTAGTTCTAGTGATTATCAGTGGGGGTCACTGGTACTTTACGAATATTTTTAAAAAATCCATTCTGGAAAGCATTAATAGAAACTGTCTAGGTGCTAAACAGTCATCCTGAAGGCTGTATTGGTGGTCAGTATTGCACTGTAGCTGCCAGACATTTGATGGTTATTGACAAGCTCAAATGCATATAAAGGAGAGTGACCAATAGAAGGCATTTGAAAATACAAGGCTGAGCTAATATGGTAACCATAGCCACATTTGGTATTTAAAATTATAATAAAATTCAAAGTTCAGTTCCGGAGTCACACTAGCAACATTCCACACTGGCTACTATGTTAATCAGTGCAGATGTAGAATGATTTTGTCATCATAGAATGTTTTACTGGACATCACTGTAGAAGGAATGGTTGAAGGAATTGAGTATGTTTAATGTGGAGCAGAAAAGATTTAGTGGATAATGAAGACTGCAATCTAGGGCTGTCATGAGAGAGAAGACTACTCCTGTGTTGTTCAATTATAAACTCCAGGAAGTATGATTTTTTTGGCTTGAATAAGAGACTTTTAAAGTTTTACCAAAGTGGATTTGGCTCCCTTTTGAGATAGTAAACTCTCTCCTCTTGGAACTATTGAAGTGAATGCTATATGTCTATCAGATACTGGATACCTCTTTAGGTGAGAGGTTAGACTAGATCTCTAATGATGTGTCCTACCTTTAACCTCTAGATTCAGACATAACCAAGTCCCAGACCTGCATGAACATGCTTTCCCTTCATAACTTGGAAGACCAGTACCACCACCACCATGCCCACTTTAAGAGGAAGACCCTCTTGTCAAATTTCCAATTCCAAAACCTGACTGTCAAGGGTGAAAATTCTTCTAGCTTTCCCAAACATTTGATGACAAGCATTTATCTTGATTTGCTTTCACTGTTTATTCTTTTGGTCTCTGTGGGGGATGCAATGCTCTCTGAGGGATGGAATTACTGGAATAGACTTTGACTAGGTGGGAAGGGGGGGAAATTGAGTCATGCCGAGTTTGAAGTGACACCAGTATCCTCTGTCAGTGATTTGCTGAAGAAAGAGGTGTTCCACCTGCTAGAACGAACTGTACGAACTCAGGACTGCCTTGTTTAAGGCTTTGCCCTCCCTCTGGTTGGCTCCTCCATACCTTTGCATTTCCCAACCAATCCATCCATCCAACCATAGACCAGCTCAGACAACAGCTCCTTGTAGACTTTCTCATCCTCTCAACTCCCGAGCATTAGTCTGTATTTTTGACATTCCCGCTCGTATCTCATACCGAGGCTACTTACGCTATTAATCTTCCAGCAACTGGAGGGCAGGCAGGGTCCGGGTCGGTTCCAGTTTTGTGCCCCAGGATTTCGCAGACATCAATAAATGTTGGTTTGGGCGAACACAATTGTCCTGGGTGGACAATCAATTTTTCCAAATGCCCAGAGAGCATCTCCCGTTGCGACGGCCGCAGGAGCTCCGAGGAAGTCACGAGAGCGGTGAGAAACAATGTGCGTGGCTGGGCAGCAACAAGGTGCGGGCTGGGGCGGAGAGCGGAGCGCCCGACGGGGCCACCCTCCTCGTGACTCCTTCTCCCCCCTCCTGGGTTCCTAGTCAGGTGATTCCGGACACGTGACGGCCACCACCTACCCTGCTGCTCCGAATGGCAGCTGGTTCAGCCAATGAGCGGCTGGCGTCGGAG